AAGGTTTTGCAATGAAAAAGTGTGGAAGTGTGATCCATGGTTCATTTCTTCAGACCTAAAGCTCCCCAGCTTGAGGTGATGTTTTGGATCAGAACTGCATTGTGAGGGAGTTTTAAAGCTTTAAAGTTTTTTTAAAGTTTTAAAGAGTTTGGGTCACAACATTTATGAGTTTGATTCTTTGACTACAGATCATTAACTCTGAAACACTAATTGGATTTGCAGCCATGAGAACATACGTTCCCCAGAACTGTGAAACTGAGCCATGATACCTGTAGGGTTTTTGTCTTCATGGGGCAGTGTGTGACAAGATGACCGTTTTCCCTGTGTATTTTCTTTGCATGATGTCCTGGGTAGCCTAGCAGGAAATGTGAAGTTGAGATGAAAGTAAAAATTATTGACATACCATGGTTTAAGTAACATTTTTTCAGTCACTTCTCTCAGACATGCTGTGTTCATGTTAGTATCTTTGATCTTCCCAATCCCAAACAGCAGTCATCCAAATACAGTATACAATTCCTAAATCTTTCATTCTGCTGTATTTATTGAATTTGTTTTTCTTCAAACCTGTTCTTCTTTGCCAGCCCTTGGAAAGAGTCTGGGGACAAGCAGACAGGAAAATCATGTTTCATTTATCTTTTTTTCAGTTATAGTTATTTAAACCATCCTTTTTAGAGTTTTGATGTTAAGATAATTCAGAGTGCCTGACCAAAGCACAGAAAACTATAAGATTTTATTTTGTAAGTTCATAGCAGTAATGTATAACATGATGCAAGTGTTATTTGTTTATTCTCTAAAAGATAAAAGAAATTAGGTAGACAACTGTAAACCAAAAGTTGGCATCTGGTTTACTTAGAAATTATGATGGACTAGTAATTATGATTTGCAAGTAATTATCTGTGAGGTTTGAGTAGAAGTGCTTAACCAGCTGGTATTGCCAGGAATGTCTGTTAAACTGAGCTCACAGACACTTAGCCAAGGAGAGCTGCACTCTGGTTTTCAGCTTGGCTTGTTTTAACTCTAGATGTTAGTCCCAGGAGGAAAGAGCAAGCATTAACAAAGGTCTTTCAGGCTGAAGGAGGCACTTTGTCTCTTGGCTAGGAAGTATCACTGATGGGAGCTGGGGCACCACAATGCTGTGTTAGTGTGCTAGAAAACTAAGTGGTTCTGCTGCCGTGACTAACTCGGCTAGCCCTGGTTGAAGAATTAGGTCATACCTGATTGGAGACAGTAGGTGGTTTGTTTCTTCTGGGTTTTGAGCTCTTTTTGTTTTAAAGAGAACCTCTGAGTCAAATAATTAAGTGAAGGAAAACCCACCAACAATAAAACATGAAGTGGATCTTCCATAATAAGTTGTTGGCAATATGCAGAGAGAGAGATATGCAGGTGTGCATGAACACACTTGCATCCCTCTCCCCACCCCATAGAGGGGGGGGGTTGTGTGTGTGTATGTGTATATACACACTTCTGTCACACTGATGGTAAATGAACTGTGGTATCCCATGTTACCCTGAGACCTCTTCTTTTCTAATGCTGAAATCTGTATGGAGGTCTGCCATCACTTCTGTGTCACATCAGCATGTGTATTCAGTTAAGAGCCAACCAAGAAATTGAAGATTTCTAGTCTTCAAGTGTATTTTGAGCAAAATAATATTTCTTATGTATGTGTACTCAGGTACTTGCATTGCCTTGTGAGTGGGGTGTTGAGTCTTTCTGGGTTTTATTGAGAGTTTTTTTGCTTGCAGTCAGTCTTCAGGAAATCGGTTTGATTTGATGATGTTCTGAAGCATTTTATTTATGGGAAGCATTTGGGTTATGGTAACGGCTTCTTGTAAAACACACCAAACCTGGAAGCACCTTTAGCTAATGGAAGCAGGGAAGGAAGCCAAGCCCTTCACATGGAGGGGAGTACCTCCCATTCAGTTTGCTCTACTGTCATGACAGGAGGCTGGAAATGGAAAGAGATATATCACTGGAGAGTTAAAAACATAAAATAAAAATTGCCAAGGATGGGGGGGAAAAAAAAAAATTACCTTCTTTACTGTTAAGGGCCTGCTGTCAACTTGAACTGCTTATCTTTCACCATTTTTTTGCCTTCTTAAGATATAGTCTGCTCTCTGCAAGGACTATATTTATCTCTGTGTTTGGAAAGCAGCTAACAAAATTCAAATGTTGAGATATGAAGAATAATGAGGAAACAATGATCTAGAAAATGTTTCTCTCTGCTAGTATTCTGTTATTCATTATTATGTAATATTGAAATACTTGTAAAACCCCTTTCTTGTGGCACAGTAAAAATCTGTATTTTAAAAGCTTGCAAAGGTAAATATTTAATATCCCAACGGGCATTGCAGCACTTTCAGCAAGATTCGTGAGCACCTGATATGCCGAAACCAATTCTGCTGTCTTGAGATTAGGTGACCTTAATAATTGGTAAAAAATTGATACGTCAGTATTTCAGCTAGCCTTGAAGTGAGGAACACCCTTGAGTGGTGACTCCCTCTTTTGTTTCGTCTTCCACCTTCTCCTTCACCTCCCTTTAAACTCTGACAGGCAGTGCTTTTGTCAGTTCCCAGCAGAGCTGGGTCACGAAATGGCAGCGCAGAAGAATTTACATGCTGGTTTCCTTGTTTGAAAAGCGATAAAAAAAGCATTCACAAAAAAAATCTGGAGGCGTGAGAGACTTCAGTATTTTACCCATGCTCACGAAAGGGTTTAACCCAATTTGCAGAGTACATTTTCTGCCGAATGCCTTAGATGAGATGCATCATTTAGTGACTCCTGGAGTAGGTACCAGAGGTGTGAGAGGGAGGTTCTTAGGCTGGGTTTCCTGCTTGGCAGAGCAGGCTGGATGAGTGCACTCTGCAAGCTGAAAGAAGGCTGAAGAAGAAGAAAAATTTTAAAGGGAAAGAGGGAGAAACTCATTAATCTTTTTAGTCATTGGTGAATTTTATTCCCCAATAGTTTGCCAAAGTTGATGTGTTATGCATATTTAAAATACCTTGGTGTTTGAGTCTTTTTTTGAGGACAGTGGTTCCCACATGGCACACCAGTGATGGTGCGTGAGCTTGATCTACTCACTGACTTCACAGCAGTTTTTAGAAGGTGCCAAATGAATATTTAGTGTCAGCTTTTGAATTCTGATTTATTTACTACTTCTCAAGAGGAAGGATTTATTGGTAACTCCAGTATGGACCTGCTATTGTTGCTTCTGGGCTGCGTGCCCGTGCGGGCAGGGTCCTGCTGGAGGCAGCAGGCTCCCAGTGGTCACCAGTGCCAGCTTCCTTCAGGCAGCTCCCAGGACCATTGCCTGCCTTTCTGAGACCTGTGGGATGCTGCTGACAGCAAAGGAAGCGCTGTGGCACAAGGCAGCGCTGGGCAATGGATGTTGCTCTTTGCCAGGTCGAAATTGCCTGACTGCCTAACAGGGAACTGGGTTGACTGAAACAATTACAAGTCAGTTTGCCAGAACAATGTATCACATCAGGACAGCGCAACATTTCTGAAGAAACGTATGAGTAACAGCGAAGCAAGCAGGGTACCAAAGACTGAATACTAACTGACATCTCGTATTTGATCCATCTTGGCAAAGGGAGGCTTGAGGTGAAAGATGTGATATACAATAGCAGGTTTTCAGTTATTAATTGTAAATAGTCTCAATTCTACTTCTGGAACTTGTGCCTGCCAAATCCCTAACTGTGCAGCAGACATCATGACTAGCAAGGAGGATTTGGGTATGAGAATGGAGTACAACTTCACGCCAGTGCTGGTGGAGTTATCTAATCACTGACTCGAGCAAAGGATCACAGGCAAAGCAAGCTCAGAGATGGGGTGAGGTTTGATTTGAGAGCGTTTAGTGGTGGTCTGTGCTCTTTGACCATATTAAATACCTAGAAGAAAGTAGGAATTTGGTGTGGGGACATTCAGGAGTTATTAATGCTGAACCTTTAGGGACCATCATAAATGTTTAGCATGCCTGTTAGGAAGGTACATCAGTAGGTCTGTTGTACATCCTTCTCTGGCCGTGCATTGCAATTTGAGAATGAGATACCCATCATGTTCTCTGGAGGAAGTCTTGGTCTTATAGACAAACTCTCATCGATTTAGTGTGAGGTCTATATTTCATCTACCATACAATCTGAAGAGTGCGACATTTTTTCAGAATTAAAGTTTTTTTTATTCTCTGCCCTAGTAAATGTAGGGTAGAGATGATGCCTTTCAATTTCTCCCATTTTGTTTTGTTTGCAAAAAGCACCATATGTGCAAAGTAATGTCGCCTCGGCTTGTTCTGCCAACTGAGTATTCTGGTTGGCTAAACATCCTTCTGCTAAAAAATTGTATTAGATTGTTTTATTTTAAAGGTCATTTCAAATTTCTTCCAGAAAAAGCCTGCTTTACTGTTATGATAGCTTATCTTTTTGTTAGTGATTTGAGTTTTATTGTTTGTTACTTCTGTTAAACTTGCTGTAGAAATGATTGCTGTAATACACATGCACAAAAAAAAAATCTGGTTAAAAGCCAGACAGTGAGATATACTGTGAGTGTGAATCTCACATCAGATGTAATCCAATATTATTTTTTTTTCTTTTCAATTAGAGCTCTAGATAGTAGCTAAAATTTCAACTCTACTGTATCTGTACTTGTGCTTTTTCCTTTATTTCTCTGTGTTTGTTGTGTCTAACTATTTGTACTGCTCCCTCATTTCCTCTGTTATATCCACGAAAGTATTTTATTGTGAAGCTTTGCTGTTACCACCACAGATACCTTTCCTGGAAAGGCATTTATTCTTATTTTTTCTTTCAAATGTTTTTAGTTTGCAGTTCTCCAATTATGTTTATTTGTCTTTGAGCATAAGCTTGTCTTCAAGGCCCTGATTTTGTTCCTTTTCTAGCTGAGGATCTTGACTGACTAGTTTCTGCTTCATGGCAAGATTTCCATAGCAGGATACAGCAGCATGTTGTGTGCTCTGATACATGTTCAGCTTTTTTCTGGTTTCTTTTCAGTGCTTTGCTGTGCGATCTCTGGGCTGGGTAGAAATGGCAGAAGATGATCTTGCTCCTGGAAAAAGCAGTGTTGCTGTGAACAATTGCATCAGACAACTCTCTTACTGTAAAAATGACATCAGAGACACTGTCGGCATTTGGGGAGAGGTAAGAATGGGATGAACTTCTCCTCTTAGAACATCTCTCTCGTCAGAAAACATCTTGAAAGATCAGCTCTGTAGTCAGATATATCTGTGCTCTGTGTTTGGGATTTCCCTATCCCAGCTGGCACTACCAGAAAATATAAAAGGGTTCAAGGAATGTTTTGGCAGTGTTGTCCCAAACTTTTCAGGACAGCAAGTGCCGCAAAGATCTCATCTTTGTGTTTACGCTTGCACTAGTGCAGACCTGTGCAACAGTGCTGGGACAAACTGTTGAAATCAATGGAAGTCTTACTGCTGACCAGAGGATCTAGGGCAGTGATTGAAGCATCATTTTCACACATTTCCCAGTGACAAAAGGGTTTCAAAGAAGCCTAGATTGGTCTCACACATGCTTCTGAAATCTATGAGAAGATTGAGACTGATGGACAGATGGCTTATTTTAAGATTATTATTTTATCAGTGTTTCAGAAGGAAATTAATTTTATGTCATCAGTCTGTCTGCTGGTTCTTCTCCAGTAACTCTCAAATCTGTCCACCAGTGTCATCCTATTTTGAAGGATGCCAAATTCCCATGAAGTGAGGGAAAAGCAGAGATCCCAGCTCTGGTTTTTTGGTTTGGTGATGGGTCAGTACACCTTCACCAATCACACTGTACATGTTCCCTGCTTCATTCTGAATCAGCAGCAATGACAGGATAACACTGTGGCAGCACAGGGAGAAATGTGAAGGAAGTCAGAGGTATTGTGGTGTGGAAAAGAGATGTGCTGGGGGCAGAGGAAGAGGTGGGAGGTGTGGAGGGATCAGTAAGTGAAACGAAGAAAGGAAAGCCAGGGATTACAGTGGTGGGATATACAGAAGATGTATGAGACAAGATCACAGAAAACCATCTTTGTTATTTGATTGATTATGGAATAATTTAAACTTCAGCCAAATCTTATTCTCTACCTCTCTCCTGACCTGTTTTCAGGATGGTTACACTAGTGTGGATTTACTGCACAAGATCTGAAAGCAAAACTGCCATAAGAATGAATGTTGCTACCTTCACTGATACTTGTGTGATCTAGGAGAAACAGCACTGCTAAACAGGAGAGGAATTAAAAGAAAGACTTGTCTGTTAGAATAAAAATTTTAGGAAGAATATCCTTCAGTCTCCCAGGTTATTGTTACAGTCTAAGGTTTGTGTCCAGTACCCTGGCTATGACCACTGTAGTGCAGAGACGCTTCAGAGGAGCACCTGGAAGAAAGCATCTGTTTAAAAATGAAAGTATTGTTTCAAATGACCTAGTTAGCATGCCCTATCTATTTAAGGTCATTTCAGACAAGGTTCTTTTTATGTTAAATTTCTATTGTATGTATAAATGAACAAGAGTATACTAGTCTCCCTTCTTCTTACTTCAGGGAGCAGTTTTATTAGTTAATATAGCTAGACAAGCAATTGGCGATGTGTCACTCACGGACTTCGGACTTACTGCTGACCCCAGGAGAGGAAGAACTCCACTCTCTTTACATGCATGTAATCCCATCCATGTTTCACATGACAGAACTTTGATTAACTTAAAATATAACATTTATGTTGAAGTCATGTGCTTTCTTTTGGTTCAAGAGCTGATGTTCACATTTTTCCATATTTCATAGAATCATTTTGGTTGAGCCATTAACCCAGCACTGCCAGGTCACCACTAAACCATGTCCCTCAGCGCTACATCTGCACGTCTTTTAAATTCCTCCAAGGATGGTGACTTCACCACTTCCCTGGCCAGTCTGTTCCAGTGTTTGACAACCACTTCTGCCAAGAAATTTTTCCTGGTATCCAACCTAAACCTCCCCTGGTGCTACTTGAGGCCATTTCCTTTTGGCCTGCTGTTAGGACATTTCTCTCTGTCAATCCCATTGTTCTCTGCTGGAAACCATTGCAGGTTTGCAAGCCAAACTGGTGAAAACTTTTGGTCTTCTGGAATGTAAGTTTTAATTAAGAATGCTATTCACAAAAAAATTTTAAAAAAATCAGCTTGAGAGAACAATAGAGAAACTGTGTTTGAATAGGTGGCCCCTGAAGCAAATTGTCTTCTTGATTTTAAAAGAAATCATTACAACCCCATTTTTCTGCTGGCAATGTTGTGCTGTAAGAGTAATTGGAAGAGGCATGTTTTAGAGAAGACTGTGAAAAAAGTGGCCATATCACTGGCATATCAGATAGAGCAGACACAGCATGAATCTATTATGAAGCTAGAACTTATGACTGCAGAGGGAGGTTTTGACATTGCCTAAAGATTTATATTAGCTAGAATGCTGTGAAAGTTAAATTTGGATTAGGACCATCCCTGAGTTTTAATGTGTTTTTTTTTTTTTAAAAAAAAAAAAAAAGGCAAAACACAAAACCCACACACGTGGGGTAAAACCCTGACTTTACAGAAGCTTTGCTTTAATGTGGGGTTTTATGCCATCTACTCCCCTCCAAAAGAAACTCTCTGTAAATTTCTAACTTCCATGGTTCTGTAAAATGTAAGAAATAAAACGACTCATCTGTTTGCATTGCTACTTTACCATTCTATACTTTGCCATTTGCATTATTTTCCTGTACCTTACAAAATCACTTGCATGAGAAAGATAAGTTGTTGCCATGGACCTATGGAACACCTCTCTGAAAGACTGCTGGAATTGAGCCTTCCCATCCCTACATTCACTTTCTCTGCGTGGCTCTTCCTGTGAGAGTTTTCTTCATCTTGGACCATCAGGCCTCTGCCCCTCTTTGGCAGACTGAGACATTGACACCTATTTTCAAGCTACCAGTCTGTCTAAATAATTTCTTCTTATCCTATGAAGTGTTTTCATCTCTAAAATAGGTTTTGTATAGTAAGGCAGCAAAACTTAGCAAAATAGATTGCTTCTGGCTGCAGCCAAGCTATCCCTTGAGTGCTACAAGGATAATTTCATGTGACTTATGTTGCTTATCTGCCCGTTCTCCAATCTTTTCCAGCTAATTTGGATTCAGTTTTATTACTCTAATCCTGGTGTATTTTGCATGATGAATAGATTTTACCTTCTTATAACAATTTCCTTCTGGAACAAATATACAGCTAGAAAATAGGTTCAAAAAGCAATCTTTGTGATACTTGGTAACATTCTTCACTCAGTCTTTTTACTGCTTCTCACCACAAGCAGGTTTCTAGCCCTTTTTCTCTGTGATGGCTCTGTTTTTGGTTTGGCTTCCATTGTCATCCTGGCTTTGGTGTTGTATTTCCCATGTTCCTTTTTCTGTAGGCCACAAGCAGCTCAGTACTGCTGCTTCGCCCCGTTTACATGCATGGGTACCCCAGCTACATCTGCTTCTCTAGGAGCAGCCTGTATATCCAGCCTTGCAGCTTAGCCACAACTCTCCTTTTTCCCTCGGGCAGAGTGTCCTTCTGCTGGCATCACATCCACCAGCCTGTGTCCCCTTCCTCTCCCACACTCCTCTTGGTGCTTGCAGTGCCAGCTCTGTGCCACAGCTGCCCTGTGAATCTGTGTCCCATTCCCTCTTCTTTTGGAGGGTGGAAGAGGTGATTAGCAGTGCCTGCCTCTTGCTGCCTAGCCTGGGAACACTGGAAGCAGGCTCTCCCAGGGTAACATGAACTTGTGTCTTACACAGATACAACATTACATGCCATTAAGACTTGAGCCACTGTAACCAAGTTGGAAGAGGGTTTCTGTGTCACCGAGGTGAAGAAAAGGGTTATTTTTGAGACATTTGTCAGTAGGAAGTCAGACCCATTCCATTCTTTGTGTTCATTTATAGATTCTGGCACAAGGGAGAGGAAACAAATTACTCTGTATTTAGGTGATAGCTCACACCTTTTTCTTACAGTTATCAGCAGGAGCTTGTCTTAACCTCTTGGCAGTAGGTCCATGATCATTTCCATGGAATCCTACGGTCTGCAGAGTAGGTGTACAGCTTCTGAGAAGAGAGCTACAAGAGAGGTGTGGTGGAAGAGGCAGCAAACCTTTTGCAAATCCTAACCATAGGAGAAAGATTAGCATTTGCAAATTAGCATCAAAAGGAAAATGCCTCTAAATTTGTTTCCTCTAAGGGGGAAAAAGCATTCTCTTTGTTCTTACATGCCAGAAGAATTAGGGAGAAATCCTGGCTCCAGGATTCTGCAGTCGCTGGCAGAATTCACATTCATGTGTTAGTGCTAGGTTTTCCCCTTTAATTAATCATTCTTCAAAGAGTATCCTATAAATCCTTTGATATGTACAAATTGCTGTCTGTTCCCATGACCCCCTTGGTCATATGGAAACAAAGCACATTGTGTGAAGGAAGAAACTCTGCCTTAAGAGTACAGGTTTTGATGTGAACCTTTACTATTAAGACAATTTTATTAAGACTATTAAGACTGGAAGAATTTGCTTGAGAAAGAATAAACACATAATTTGTTGAAAAACTCAGTAGCTTGGGGTTGAATGAGTCAAACAGTTGCAGTTAAAAGACATCAAACCTTTTTGTGGTTGGAATTGTTTAAAAATAATAGTAGCAAGTTACTGTCTTAGCTCTTTTTCACACCAGAAGTAAATGAACTTATTTTCAGTTGCTCTTGGAACAAGCTGAAACTTTGAGTAATTTAAGAGGATGCAGATCTAAAGAGCACAGCTGCAGCACCTTGATCCCATGAGCGGGGGTGTACTGTGTAACTGTACTTTCTCTGGAGTTGCAGGGCAAAGACATGTACCTTATACTGGAAAATGACATGCTGAACCTGATTGACCCCATGGACCGCACAGTTCTTCACTCACAGCCTATTGTGAGCATCAGAGTCTGGGGCGTGGGGCGTGACAACGGCCGGTGAGTCTCCACTCCCCTTCTCCCTCCTGCCTTCAGCTATTTCTGTCTGCTGATACAGAGCACACATACACTCGGAGCAAGTTAGGCATCAAACCTATTCATTTGATTGAGTAATTGCATCCCAGGGGCTATGAGAGGATGGGTAAATTCTTCTTTTTCTTGCTGGTGTTGCTTTTTAAAATCTCTGCTTTTTGTACTTTATCACTTACACGCTGTTTTGTTAAACCTGTATTGAGCAAGCCTTTCAGATTAGTTCAGCCAGGTGTGCATAAAACTGCACACACAACATTTTGCTTCAGGTATATATAATACTTTCTTATATAAAACCATATTTTCAAATATCTCCTGTAATATGTTTCTCCTGGCTACATGAAAGCATGTCTTCCTGCTGGTCCAAGTTAAATGTGCTGCTTGCCTTCTGACTGTATCCATGTGTTTCCACTTCCTCGAGTTAATTGATTTGGTGGAGAAAAAAGCTGGATTGAGGGGAGAGTGATGGTTCTGATCATGGTCTAATTCCTAAGAGTGTTGCAGAACACTGAGGTTAGTCCCTGAAACCTGACTGCCTGTGAGCTGAAGTTCTTCCTCGATACAGGGAACAATCATGAGTGTTTGCTAAAGGCCTTCCAGGTGTTCCTGGAGCCAGTCTTTCCTCAGCTTTCCTTCCTGACTGGTCTTCCTTTGGTAGCATCCTTCTTTGTCATGTGACATTGCCGTGGGAACAGGTCTATGAAAGTGACTTCTCTAGAGTGGAATGGTGAGCTGTCTCTGTCCCCTTGAGCATTTTGATGTATCAAAAATGTTGGCATTCACACTGAGTAATTCCAGGATCTTTGGACAACACTCATCCTGGCACACAGGTAGTAGGGACTGAATAATGCTAATGAGCTGCTGTGTTTAGTGTCCATGTTTTATTATTGAGATGTATGCAGTAGTAAGGGTTGGGGTTTTTTTTTCTCTGACTTTTGATGGGAAATGTCATTTTGGACCTGAAAAATATTTCCCAGGTAAGATTTCTGAAACTTTTATCCCTCTCAGAGTTTCTGATTATCTCTGGCTACATTTCCAAAAGGCACAATGACCCAATTCCATCTTTCTAATTTTTTTGCTTCTGTAAATGACTGATGGTTGGGTCTCTTTTCTGTTTTTTCACTTCCATTGGTGTAGATGTTTGAGATAGGTAAAAGGGGCAAACTCAGTTTGAAATGCTGGGAAGTAAAAAGGTTTTAACTTCTTATGAATAAACCATTACAGTGCTTTGTTTCCCTCAGAAAATTAGTGCATTGCACGTTTCCCTTCAAGTCAGATTTTGTAGTAGCTTGCTTTGGTCAGGAAAATAAATAGAGCATTGTAAGGGTATGCAAATGTGATGCAGCTTTACAGGGTAAAGGAAGCCAGCTTTACCTTTTTAATTTATTTTTTTTTAAATGCACTTACCGTTTATGTACTTACTGTTATGCACCTATTTGTTTTTCAAATATTTACATTTCTTTGGGAAATAAAATATTCTATTATGTTGTTTATAAAATAAGATAATGAGTCACACGCTGGGTACCTGCCTCTCCTAAAGACAGAACTGATCATAGAAACGTCAGTGTTGAAATGGGAAATTTAAGAGAAATGTACCTTTTTCAGTCATATGGCACCAAGAACATTTGTAAGCTTTTGGTGAAGTGTGTCTAGGGGTGGGAGCCAACAGCAAACTCTCTTAGGTTAATATGTCCCATTAATAGGACAGGAGTTGGTGGGAAAGGTTGTGAGTGCACAGGTTGTTGATTTCAGAACTTTCCTATTTTTAGCCCTTCATAAGAATTTTGATGGATGCTTCTACAGAAATTTTGTGTCCAGTATGACTTTAAGGACTGGAGCACACTCTTTCAAATTCCATTTGTTTAATGTTTTATTGACCTATTTGAAAAAAATAAGATTGTAGGAAAAACAGTGTAGCCATGATTTGTAATTAAACTCAGACTGCCTCCGATGTAAAGTAGCAGAAGACCCAAAAGACAAGTATAAAGAACAAACTTGTGACTGAGTCTTCAGATGTATGACGGTTTTTGGGTGTAGAGAGGTTCACTAACAGGCAACATGCTTTGAAGGGTAACATAAGTGGTACAACATCTGCTGAAGAAACACTAACACACGAAAGAAAAAAGCATTGGGTGACAGGAGAACCCAAGCTGAGAAAACCTTATTGTTGAGCTGGAAATTGCACTGCATTTCTTTTTATGTTTATATTAGCATGCAGTCCTTGGGTTCATCCTGGTGCGATTGCCTGTTTGTCCTGAGGTGAGAAAAACCAAAGCCATTCACTGATTGCAAAAGCAACTTTCCCCAATTGTTATGAGTTTGCCATCATGAGGGAGAAGTGAGGGGATTGCATGGCTGCTTCGGTGGATTAATTGTCCAGGAAGCTGATGAAATCCCAGTTGCTGGGATGAAGCTCTTCCAGAAGTTGTTGCACGTGGACTTTATTAATTAGCTACATCTCCTGGTCCACAAGCCTGTGCAATAAAAAATATTGAACTTGTTGTAAAAGGCAGTGTTTTGATTTTAAAATATTGTAGAAATGTGTATTTTCCTCTACTTTAAGCTATTTGAACACCACAATCATCTGCAGGCCCTTCTTTTTAACTCTGCTTCACTTGTAGTATTTTATTTGTGAAGATTTTGCTTTGAAAGATGAAAAGGTTTTCTAATGACACCTGACCAGATGATTTTCTAAGCTGTGCCGTAATGAAAGATTGATGAAATAAGAGATCTGCTGATGGAAATTTCATCTAAGGCTGTGTCTGCGTATTCACCTCAGGCAGAAACGTCTTCCAGGAGGCTGTAATCACTCTCTCCATATACTATTATCCTGACCTGTTAACCTGAGGTTCTTTTTTAATAGGTCTGTGATAAGCAAAGGCTTCATCATTTTGTTGACTTGGGCTGTGTGGTGATTTTGTGTTTTGAAAGGTAGCATCCCCTTGTTTTCGATTGATCAGTCAGTAAAGTATGGTTGACCTTAAGAGAGGCTGGAGCACCTTTGTAAAATCATGAACAAAAGCAGGCTCCCAGGACTGGTGGTGATGTATCTGTATACATCAGTATGTTTATAAGTAGACACTGAGCTCCTTTGTCTGATAGGTATATTGGCATTAAAGTAAAACAAATACAGTATATCTGTCCAACCTTTTGGCAGGCTTGGTTTCTTTTAGGTGGTAAGTAAAAGCCACTGTACTCTGTACAGTCTTCCTCTCCTGCCATACTGAAAACAGGGCTATGATAATTCATTTAGTATTTTTTATAAATAAGTCCTTGCACTTAAATAGTTTGATTTCAAGATCAGTAAGGTTATTATCACATGGAGGATTTGTGGTATCACGGGTGTATCAGTGAATAATTGTCTGTGCTTCTTAGCAAGCAACCTATGACTTTTTCTTTCTGTGCTTTAGAAGTATGTTGGAAAATATCAGCATAGCGAAGCTATAAAAGGTTGTTCTTTTCTCTCATGAGCTGCAGTTTTGTACATTAATCATTCCTCAGGCTGGATCTTGTCTCCCCTCCTCAGCTGCTGGTGCATGGCATGCCCTTTGCTTAGTGAGCAGCTCACTGACAGGGAAGAGAAGGTAATGGCCCATCAGTTTTGTAAAAGAGTTTCCCTTAGCACATTTCCCTGAATCCTCCTTTATCTTCATTGCTCTTTACCAATCCAAAGCCCACCTCATCTTTTAAAACCTCTGTGGGACTTTGATTGCCTGAAAGATCACCTTTTTGTGTTTTTTACTCCTGATGTCTCCGTACAACAGCAGTATAGTCCAGCTGAAAAATTCAGTGGTTAGCTGGCCAGCATGTCTATGAGCAGATTCAGGAGACAGTTTTTATGGGAGTGAATATGGAACTGGTTACTGGATGGTGTGGGCACCTGGCATGTTGTACAAAACACATAGCACGTGTCTTTGTTCATCCGTGAGCTTTGTCACCACATAGTGCAGGTTTGTTTTCTCTGTGTAGTTCATCTGTTTCCCTGCCAGGCTGAGGAGGGAGCCTGGTTGGGTTTGGTTCTTAAGTGATGGAGAGGCAGGTTCTCTGGTTTTAGGTTTTCTTGATTGTAAGCTCTGACTAGACAGTGTGAAAGCATTGTGCTCCCTCCTCTGTGCTAATAATGCCCATTCTGTCAGGTGGTGGTGGTAGGGATTTCTTCATCTGCTTCTTTGAATTGATGCTTGTTTTCTGCTTCCTGGACATCCAGGAATAAAATGAGGCTGGGAATCAAAAAAGGGAAAAGGCAAAGAGGACAATTGGACAATGCACGCACCAAAGATGAGGCTCAAGCTGCCTCGAAAAGGGAAAGCAGACAGCTAAATGGATAGACACCCTAAGTCAGTTGTACCTACTCCTGTAAGGCTAGAAGAGAAAGAAAGTCCTAACAAGAAACCAGAAATTACCTGAGCTCTTTCACCTGAGGAGCTGTTAGGGCAAGAACTGAGAAAACTGTTGGAGTGATGTGAGTGAGAAAATGGGACAGATCTGCAGAAAATAAGGAGGAAATGGTGTAAAGTGATAGCTTGGATTCCTCAGAAGATGAGGAATTAAAAATAATATCCTATCTTGCTGTTTCAACATCTAACTAAAAATGGCCTGGTTTCAGATATGTTTAACACCTGCACCGTCCACTGACTTCAGTAGAATCTCTGTATATTTGGTCTCTTTGAAAATCAAATACCTAAAGAAAGATTTAAGAACCTTCCTGTAGACATCCAGAATTGGGAACTTTAACTTGAGGAACGATGCTACAGGTTAAATGTTTTCTTTTTAGTTTTGAGTGCATGTCAAGCTAAGAGAGGCAGGGACACGTCTGGGTGAGCACTGGTTTGTGGGTAGTGTGGAAGCTGTGCTGCAGGTCGAGTGCCTGTCTCAGGGAGTTATCTGTATTTCCTAGGTGAAACTGTGTACCTAGATATTGAGGCTTGAGCTCCAGTGCATGTCTGTCCTACAGATACGAGAATTAGGAG